AACATACACTAAAGGCAAATACAACGATTTGGGTCCATCAGTCCGAGTGGATTTTCCACTGTTTCGGGTGGCGATGGCCGGATTTGCTTTATCGTTCCGACTTCACGGCAGCAGTGTCGAAGTCGATTGTCGCTTCGGGGGTGATCGAGCTTGAGGTGCGCGCTCCTATCTTCCTTTCTCTCTTCTTTGCCTAGTGTTGGAGGGATGAGGGTCTTCGGCGGGGGCGGTCCACGACTTCGTTTGACCTCAACTGTCGCCGTTAGATTGTGTGGGGGAGGGGTTTGTTTGCTTGGGCCGTTAGGATGTGTTGGTCTTTTGGACCGGATGTAGTTAGCCGTCGTTTGAAGGGAGTTTCTAGATCCTATTCCTGGGCCGAGCTTCTGGCTGGTGGGGAGGGCCGTATTCTAGGTATTAGATTGTGTTTTATTTTTTCTTATTTGTGTGTGCTACATGATTTTTTTGTATTTACTTTTGTTGTTTTTATTCTCCTTCTAGGAGCTTGTATTCTCCTTGTGGGAGTAGTATTATTATTGTGGGTGCATTCTGTTGAGTTCTATTAGGAACGTTATGAATATGCACATCCGAACTTAATGAATTAAATCATAACGTAGTGGAATCTATAGTTAGGATTAGGATATTACCGTTTCAAATTTTTGCCGACTCTGAGGCCTTGTAGATTTTCTCTATAGGAGATCGTCTGAACCGCAGAGTCTGTTGGGCAGCCGAACTAGACCTTCTCCAGTCGAGCACGAGTCGTCGGGGAACTTGGCGCGTCAGGCACGGTCACAGATGCACGTCGGGTGCTGCGGGTCGAGGTCGCGAGGGGCTGCGCGTCGGGCGCTGGTCGCTAGCCTCGTGCGTGTCTGCAGGGTCTGGGCGTTGAGCGGCTGCAGACAAAGACGTGCGTCGGGCGCTGCTGAGATTCGACTGCGTGCGCGTCTGGGAGCAGGGCTGCGGCATCATTTCGCCTGACGCTCATGGGCTATCCTGCGCTTCGGGCGCGGGCAGCTAGCGTGCGCTGTGAGGCAACATCTGAGATTGTCGGGCGTGTGTGACACGACAGGGCTCGCAAAGAACTCGGGCAACGGGTGTGTACGACAAGGCAAGCGGGGCGCGCGAGATCGTCGGGCAGTGGCGTGCGAGCAGAGACGGCCTACGGCTGCAACTGGGCGGCTCGCGGTGTCACTGGGAGGTCGCGGCATGGTGTGCTGACTAGGCGCGGCGGCAGGCGATTTCCGGCGGTGGATGGTGGGTCTCCGGCGACTGAGGACGGTGGTTGGGGTCGCCGAAAGTATGAATATATAGGCTCGATAATCATTGTGCTCTAAAGCCTTGTAATGTGTGACCTTATACTCCTACTTCGAATAATCTTGGTGGTGCGATTAATCGAAAATTCTCAAACTCTCAATATATAATGAACTCGATTTTTTTCTCCCTTTTAGGACATTAAAATCGACCAAACCATTAGAGGAAGAGAGCTTGGGACATGGTGTATTTATAGGCTACATTAGGGACCTTAAGGAGGTACTAAATATGGGCTTATCCAACTAGGGTTAGGAAACCTATTTACTCTATAATTACCTTTCCTTCTAGAAGACCTAATTCCTTTCAACTCTAATTACCCCTTCTAGAAGACTCTTAAGTCTTCTAACTTTTAGTAATATTCTAGAAGGAATATATCTCTTCTTAGGGAATTAATTAATTAGAGAATAAAAAATAATTCCCATCTCCATATTGAATTAAATAATAAAATATTTCACTAAAGTAATATTATTGTTCTCTCCATTTAGCTCCAATTTATTCAATAAATTCGAAGTTCCACTTAATTAATTAATATTAATTTAATATATCGATTTACCATCCCTATATTTGAGATATATCGTCCGTTGGTTAATTAAATTACTTACAATAAAATTAATTAACTTCTTTTAATTCCGAAATTAGTACCACTCAGTTCCTTAATCATTATGTTGGAAATCAATCTGCCTGCAGGACTTGACATAATATTCCTTCCTGAGCTCATTTCGAGAACGTTATCTACCCAGCGCGCTGGGAAATAGTGACCATAATTAATTATAACAGCACATTATATAAACATTATCATTTACCAAAATACCGAGTATGTCATCCTAGTAAAATAGAAATCATCGTTGGTAAATTAAATAAACAAGTAATGAATATATATGCATGTTTATTACATTACGGCTTAAGAGTACGCATCAATTACTGAAGGTTATATTATTTCATCGATCAGTATTCAACAATGTTCTGAAAACTAGACCGAATTGGCCAGTCCGACCGCTTCAATCGGGAACTGGCGCATAGACCGGTCCAGATTACTGAAACGGACCAGTTGCATCAGAGCCGTTCAATAACTGGTGAACTGGTTGAGCCGTTCAAAATAAAAAAAAGCCGGCCAAAAACTGGTTGATTAGACCGCTAATCGACCACAGTTTTACTTTTGGGCAATTAACATATTTTAACACATGTATAATGCACATCATTCATTACCTCAACCGATGTGGGACAATACAAACAGGTAGCTTTCAATTGGTGACCTGCGCGTGGAGTGCCTTCCAATATTATTTTTTTCTTATTAGTTTATTGCATGAAATTAGGCAAGCCAATTGCATGAAATCAGGTAAGCCATCTCTCGCTCACAGTAGGTATAATTTTTATTTTTTCTTATATTTTCCTATTAAATTTATTGCATAAGCCATCTCACAGTATACGTACAAACTTTATGTTTCCTTATTTTTTTCCTATTAATTTATTGCATAAGCCATCTCCAGGGGCGGATCCAACTCATAATATGAGTGGGGGCCTACTTATTTTTAAGGAACAAATATAATACATCACAATAAAGTATAAATACAAAATACACATTCATAGAAATTCTTATGAGTTTTTATAGCTTGGTATGACTCTACAATAAGATTTTTTACATATTCTTTCGGCCTAACAATATTATAATTCACCTCAAGTATATTTAGAACAAAAGTAACTAATTTTGAAATATTTTCACATGCTTTTTGTCAAGACTATTTATAAAAATATTTTCTGCATAATTTGATATAAAAAAAATAAATTATAATGTATATTTTTTTTTATCTAATATATCAAACTTTTAAGAGCCCTACAATTTATCAGTCACACACAAATGTAAATATGTTAATATCTTAAGAAACAACATTCAATTAACTACAAGTTTAAATTTTTAATTTTTAGATCAAATCTAAACTTTTGGCGTTACTCATTCTTTTCAAAAACACAGTTCAAGTCATAACTTAACTACGGGGATTCATTACCCGATTTTTTCAACGGTTTTCATTAACCACATAACGTAAACATAAACATCAGGATGAACTCAATCATATATCAAGAAAGGTTTTTCAACTTGAACCAAATCCAAATGTTTTCAAAATAAACAAGTTCCAACTCCAAACCAACGTAAGTTCAATACCAACATAAGTTCGTGAAAAGCGGAAGCAATTAAATAAACATAATAAATAAGTGTGACCACCACTCGCCTTTCCTCGTCACGCGCCACTGCTTAACCTGCATCAGTTACGAGCAGGTGGGAGTGAGTACAATTAAATATCGTACTCACACTATGCAATGCACATTTGGTAACATGTTAAATAGGCATGGTCGCAGCATGAACATAAATAATACCACATATGTCACATCTCCAACATAAACATAAATACTCCTGTGTACACATCTTTCATAATAGTCGCGGAAAGGGGATTCATTACCCTAACGGCGAGAGTACATGCCACGCAAGGACACGGCCTTTCATAATAGGTCTTAAGGAGACTTGCCTCGCAAGGGCAACCGTATTACATCGACGGGGACAACCGTAACGATGACCATCATAATAGCTCACATCGATAGGCTACATATTCACGTTCATACATAGATCACGCCAAATCAGAAAAACATATTTAAACACACATTGCACAGGTAATTTTAGAATAATAACCCACCTGGTCGGAATCGAGACAAATCACAAAATGCGTGTAGGCGGCGAGTTCGACTCGTCAAGCACCTACATTTAATAAAATAGCCTTATCAAAGACTATTCGACAATTACTTAGTCCAACTAAGTTCACGTAAGTATTTAAGCATGCATTAAATCAAGGTAATCACACTTCCGAAAATATCACATAAGTTTTTGAAAACTTAACCCGGGCAGTGTTTTTAAAACCGACACAACTTTCAGCACATAACTCATATGAACATGAATCAAGTTGCATTACAATCCTAAGACAGGAATCTAAAATTCGTATGAAGGCACTGAAAGCAAATAATATCATTTAATTGGTGATAAAACAGCAAACATTCAAAATTTGAGTCACAGTCCAAAACGGGGGTAATGCACTTGACCAGCCCTCAGTAATTGCTCTCTAACTGGAGCTACAAGCATGATTTCAATGAAATTCAAAAACCACATGATAGATAATTCAAATTTCTACAACGTTGCTGAAGGTCACTTTGGCAAATGAACACGTTTTCAATGAGTTTAAACACAAAACATTTGGTTCAGCAAATCTGTCAAAAACTCACATGTGATATGGACAGCACTTCAGTGTTTACAACCTAGACCGAGCTACAGACCTCCCAATGACATGGTTCAAGTCTCAAATTAAACCTTAAGCATGCCTCTAGAACTTTCATTTAGAACACAAAAGCATATAAGATCATTTGGATAGGGTAAAATCAGTTCACATACAATTTCAGATTCCTGCCAAATTAATAAGTCCAACTCATGCATGTCCAACTTTATGAGAGCACAACTTGAGCTACAAAGCACTTATAGACATGAAATTTATCTCATTTGAAAGGCAAGAAATAGACCTATAACTTTCATGAAGAGTATAAGTTCATACGAGCACATTACGACATAATAAACAGGTCACACATTAAATACAGATATGCTGCCGGGTAGCAGGAAAAACTGAACGCGCAAAGTAGTAGCTACTATATGCACGTGCATGTATATATCTTATAGCTTAAGAATACGTAGTAATTAAACGAGGTCTAGTTCGATTACTTGGTCAGTATAAAACAAACTTGTCCTCTTTGGGATTCATTCAATACATCCGAGATGTAATAGTGTAATTCATCAGTTAAGATTAACCAATCCATATTATACAACAACTGTTCGCGATGGGTTGCTCAATCCCATCTAGGTTGTGAACCAATTTTTTATTTTTACAAGTAACTAGTGATATGATCTTCTGTCCATCCGTGATAAACCATATTCAAATGTAAAACATCATAATGTAGAACTGTTTAATTAAACATGA